GAGTAGGCCTCACACTTACACATACATGAAGGGTCAGGATCACTTTAGGGACGTGGGGGTCATCCCAAAGAGGGTCTCAAACATTTTCCGTGTTATTGGTGTGGTGTTTGTTCATTTTTGTAGTGTTCGTCCCTATTGTAACATTGACATTAATTAATATTCAAACATAACACTAATGTAACACATAAAAAAAACTTCTTACTGTACTTTTCCCAAACGTAACACTCCAATATAACACTCTAAAAAAAACTCTTTATTATAACACTCTAAAGTAACACACACAAAAAAATTCTTATTGTGACATTCTAATATAACACACAAAAAAACATTTTAGTGTATTTTTTTCCAAACATAACACTCTAATATAATACACAAAAAAATTCCTTAACACACACAAAAACTCCTTAGTGTAACACTCTAATGTAATATACAAAAAAAATTTATTGATGTATTTTTTCCAAATATAACACTCTAATATAATACTCTAAAAAAATTTCTTAGTGTAATACTCTAATGTAACACACAAAAATTCCTTAATATAACATTCAAATGTAACACACAAAAAAACTCTTTAGTGCACTTTTTCCAAACGTAACACTTCAATATAACACTCAAAAAAAAAAAAACTTAATATAACACTTTAATGTAACACACACAAAAACTCTTTGATGTACTTTTTTCCAAACGTAAAAAAAAAAAAAAAAAAAAAAAAAAAAAAAAAACTTCTTAGTATACTTTTCCTAAACGTAACACTCCAATGTAACACTAAAAAAAAAAAAAGAATGTGAGATTTTCAAACCATTTCAAAAGGAGTGCAAATATTCTTTAATAAGTTTTGAATAAATATATAATTGGAGCGTTATATTTAGGAAAAGTATATTGAGAATTTTTTTTTTTTTTTTTACATTGAAGCATTACTTTTGAGAAAAGTACACAAAAGAATTTTTTTTGAGCGTTACGTTTGGAAAAAAATAGTACGTTTAAAAAAATTACAGCAATGAGTTTTTTAATGTGTTATATTGAAATGTTACGTTATTAGAGCGTTACATTCAAGTGTTAGGTTTTTGTTCGTAATGTGAGATTTGTTTTAGAATAAGAGAAAATTCAAAACTTTTATAGTTTAAATTGCCCAAATGTGTAATTTTATATTTTGAGAAAATAACTTTCATCACTAAAAAATTAAACTCAAACATATAAGTGACTACCCTTTTATGTAATTTCCACTTTAATGAGACCTTTGAATTTGTAAGAAAAAAAAGAAGACTAAACCGTTCACAACATCACATTTTAAGATTTATTGGCACTTCAGTCTAAAATAAAGTCACAAAAATTCCAAACATCTCAAAAGGCAAGAACATTTCCCATACTTAAAAGGTATAATTCAATATAAGAACACAAGAGAGGTAAAAATAATAATAATAATTAGTGTGTTTAGTTTAAATTTTTTAGATTAAATTTTTTGAAAATTGAATTTTTAAAAAATTGAGTTTTTTGATTTTCGCATTTTTTTGTTTTTAGTGAATATTTTTAAAATTTTAAACATTTTTTTTTATTTTTGTAGATGCACTTTACTTAGATGTATCTAAAAAGTAAAAAATTTGTAAAAAAATATTTTAAAAAAATAATAAATACATAAAATTACAAAAAAAAAATGTACTGAATTCTTATATTTTTTGTATTTAGTGAATTCTTTAAAAAAAAATTTATAATTTTTTTACTTTTTAAGTGTATTTATGTTAGGTGTGTCTAAAAAGTAAAAAAATTACTTAAAATATTAAAAAATTCAGTAAAAACAAAAAAAAAATATGAAAAATAAAAAAAATACAATTTTCTGAAAAATATTTTTTAAAAAATGAAAACAAGCCAGCTGTAATTCCAAAGATGAACAAGAGCAATATCGTACAATCACTTTTTTATTTGTTAAAATATATGTTTTCAAGTGAATTATTGATTAAAAACACTAATAGAAATTGTAGTTATCAATTGTTGTCCTTTCTTGCACTTAAAAACGATTCCAAACCCACAAGCCTGAGAGTTTACAAAATTCACAGCACAACTCGCTACAAGGAACGCAACACGATTACAACAAGATTACGAAACCAAGTAAATAAACAAATAAATTTACAAAATTGTCCCTACTGCTCTTCACATGCATATCGCAGATCGATATCATAGATTAAGTTTAAGGGAGATTTATTTATATATAGGTCGATAGACTTATTATCCAAAAGATTCTATGATAATTAATAATATTTTTTATTAAATATTATTAAAAAAATCACTAATTTTTAATTTTTAGTAACATTTTGAAAAAATTGTCACAAAAAAAAGTCACTAATTGTAAATTTCAGCGACAATTTATATAAAAAAAAATGTGACAAAAAAGTCACTAATTATCAATTTTTAGCGACATGCAAGAAATTGTCACAAAATTATTTTTATCGACGATTTTATTAGAATTTATTTTTAATAGGATTTGATAAAAATTAAGTCTAATTATTATAATCTCTTGATAATTTACCATCAGTTTTAAACAACTATTAATTGCAATTCTTAATTCACATCCAATGCATGTTCTCGAAGGACATGGTATCGAAAAGGTTTCCAAACAACTAATTTTCTAATGAAAACATATTATATGATATTAATTAAAAATATACACCACACCAAGCGAAGGTTAAAGTGAAAGAAGCTTAAACTGTTGATATTTTGACCAGACAAAAATTATTGAATATTTTCAGAGGTGATTGTCATATGCATAAAAGGTGATTGATTGCAAGAATGTCATATATACTTGATTGATGACAAGGTGTGAAGCATGAATCAGCGTGAATAATGAATCAGTGCTAAATAGTCAATGGAACTCTCCAAAGAAAAGGATGAGAAATTTTTATCTTCTTCGAAAGAAGAGATAAAGTACTTTCAGTGGGCAAGAAAATCCATATATATATATATATATATATATCATCTTTACAACTTGCTGTTATAATTTTTTAGGACATGGAAAAATTATTTTATATTCTTGGAATAATATTCAGTGTATTTAAAAGTCGCATAATTACGTACAATTTGTCCCTAAATGCAAAAATTTTTGTGATTGTATGACTTTGAATTGTTAGGCATCATCCCAAACACAATAATTTTTGTGCATGATTGATAATTTGTCCTTAAATGCAAACATTTATGTGATTGTATGACTTTGAATTGTTAGGCATTACCCCAAGAACAAAATAATTTTTTTGCATGATTGATAGGATGATTCCAAAAGCCAATGGCTTCTCTAGATTCCTTATGTCTCACAATGTTACGCGTCTTTGTGTGCATATTAAGATGTCTTAAACATTAATATCTCAATCAAAATTGATCGACACCCGTGAAAATCCGTATTGGGAAGTGGCATCTAAAGGTACAATTTCATTATCAAAACAACAATTATTATGCAAACTAATAAATTTGATCAAAATATAATAACAGATATCACATGTAGGGATGAAACTTTAAAATTTGAAATAGAACCCATTTAAATAATATAATAGGAACAACTCATTTTAGTAAACACATTTATATATAAATGTAAAGCACACTCAATATATTTGAGATACATACATATATACAAACATGTAGATGTATACATATACATGAATACATTTCTGCTGGTGTAATTATAATCAGTTGATAAAGAAAAAAGTCGAGACTTGAGAGACAGAGAATCAATCTGCAAAGAGGTGGTAAATCATGACAATTAATCTGTTCATTATAGCAAATACCATCTGTAATATATTACGTTAGTTCTACTAATCTAGAACCAAACAAGAAGAAGAAAAAAATACAGCTAAGATTAAAAGATTTATTGACCCCTGCAATCAACAACTGAATTGGGTAGGCAATGGCTAAATTATTAAGTTGTTCACTGAATAATTTTACTACTACGACAATGCATCCAACAAATTAATCAACAATTGACTCAAGAGCAAGACAACTTGCACCTCCCAGCATTTAACTACCGAGGAGCAAGTACAAATAATTAATAAGCCCATAACTGCAAAATGGCATTATTGAAGGCAAATAAATCTATCATTCAGAGCTAAACGAGATGAGGATCACGATCACCAAGCATCAACGATGAAAGACTAATATACCTTAAATTGAATTATGATTATTGTTGGATTCTAAAGCAAATTATTCAAATTATTATTGGTTAGAACACTAAAAAACTTGGCCAAATTGAATCTCACCCAGTTAGGTAATTGCAGAGTCATTAATATATTACATAATACAGAATATTGGACACGATATGCCATATCTAATTGAGAACTTAGGTGTCAAACCCATGATACCATATAACCTATTTTGCTTTGAAGAAAAGAAAAATGGTCATAAGATTAAAGGGCTAAGGCGATGATAGCTTATGAATTACACAAAGCAAGACCCAAGAGAATGCAAAATGACAAAACAGCATATAGGTATTCCCTTCAAAGAATCAGTATTCCGACCTCTTGAGCTTAAAATTGACTGCATTTATGACCCCATCCATCCAACTATAAAAGATATGCTGCAGACTATTTTATCAAAAAAAACACGAATGAGATATACAGTTGAGATATATTGTAAAATACAACAAATGCATATTGTCATAATTGCTAATAAAACAACATGATTGTTTCACATATATGTTATTTTTAATACAAGTCTTTCTACAGTCTACAATTTACTGTAGAACTGCTAGCCTAGCTTCACAAAGATAATGTCTACTATGACATCTCTAGCATCTGATGTCAACACACATATCTATGCCTACTACGCCCATTTATCAAGATAAATAGATAAAACATGAATACAAAGATAGTTATGTGATGATAAATTTTACAGCAATTAACATATTCATGTGCCTTAATATTAATTGCCATTCCATATTGCATTGCACATGACAATACTTGTGTGATAACAAACTTTTCCATAATTAACATGTTCATATGCCTTGATACCAAATTGCCATTCCATATTTTTAGGCTTATGCATTGCACATGACACACCAAATTTCAAAGAATTGTACAACACACAAACTTGATTTCCCACACTGCAAACAAAATAATAATTTCCTGTCAAGGTATATGCTTTGAGCGAATATTTTACCATTACATAAATTTCAACAAAAATTTACCAAAGAATAACAAACTTAGATACCCTGAAACACAGTTCTCTTGCATTAACAGTCATTAGTCAACATCCATTAAAAGTTGAAGTCAGTTAATGAGCATCTTCAATCACAACATCAGTCCAGACAATCCAAATCACAAATAAGTTCTAAATAAGTAGCATTTTCAAAATTCTTGATTTCATCCATCAATTCTTCCAACACTTGGTATATCTCCTCACAGCAAGGGTGGGAATGATCCTCAGCATTAAAAGCATGGACCTTATTTTTAACTTCTATCCAACTCCAACCAGGTACCTTCATAACCCCCCTCTCCCTCATCAACCTTTTTACACTAGCTTTTTCATCCCACCTCTTGAGGAGCCCATACATGTTAGAGAGAAGAACATAAGTACAGTGCTCTTCAGGCTCTTGTTCTAGCAAACGACTTGCTACTTGAGTTGCCAACTTAATATCACCACAAATCCTACAAGCACCCAGCAGAGTTTTCCATACCATTGCATCTGGTTCAAATGGCATTGCCTCAATCAAGGCTTTCGCCTCCTCTAGGCGCCCAGCCCGCCCAAAAAGATCAATCCCACAAGCATAATGCTCCATTCTGGGAGGAATTCCAAAATCAGATTCCATAGATTTTAGAATACTGCAACCTTCTTCTACCATACCAATGTGGCTACATGCATTCAAAACTGCAACAAAAGTTATATGATCCAGTTTTACCTTGCTGTCTCTCATTAGGAAGAACAGGTCCAGCGCAGCTTTACCCTGCCCATGTTGTGCGTACCCAAAGATGAGTGAGTTCCAAATGATTGAGTTGTCTTTAGGGGTCGCTTCAAAGGATTTTCGAGCATCCTCAATGATCCCACACTTGGAATACATAAATATCAAAGAGCTAGCTACAAAATCATTCAAATCAAAGCCTGATTTTAGTGCCAAGGCATGAACTTGTTGACCCAATTGGAGAGTTGCCAAATCTGAGCAAGATCTAAGGACAGAAGAAAAGGCATAGTGATCGAGTCCTAGCGGACCCAATTGCAATTTTTGAAAGAACTTCAACGTATCTTCACTCAACCCATACTGTGAAAACCCTGTCAAAATTGAATTCCAAGAAACATTGTCCTTTACACCCATGGATTCAAATATTTCTATCGCATCTTCCACATATTTTCTATTTGACTTGAGATACATGGCTATCAATGAATTAGAGATTGGTATTGATTGTTCTAACCCCTTCTTGATAACCAGTGCATGCAGAGATTTTCCTTGGTTTTGATGTGCATCTTCAAAACAAGCACTTATCATACTAGTGTATGTGTAGATGTCTGGTTCAAATCCAAGCCCTTGCATCTCTATGAAGAGTTTAAACGCAAGGGCTCCTTTGTTATGTGCTAGGTAAGATGCTAGCATGGAATTCCATGTGACCAAATCTTGGGTGTTGGTAGCACTCTCAAACACTTGCTTGGCATCTTCAATGGATCCACAGTCTGAATATGAAGTAATTATAGCATTGCATACGGTGTTATCAGATGTGAACCCATGCTTTATGATTTTCGAATGGATCTGCATATTTAATTTGTAAAACTCAGGATCATCAAGCAATGTCAAAAGGGGAGCGAAGGTACCATCATTAATCCTCACACCTTCTCGCTCCATATAGTCTAGCAATAAAAACGAAGTCTCATAATCACCCACTTGTGCATACCCTGCAATAAGGGCATTCCACGAGACATAGTTACGTTCCGGCATGCCCTTGAACACCTTATAAGCATCCTCAACCCTGTCACACTTGGCATACATGTCCAAAAGAGCACTCGCCGAGTAAACATTCCCCACATAGCCTGTCTTAACAATGAGTAAATGAGCTTGCAGCCCAAGATCAACGCTGCCCTCGCAAGCAATGCCTTTAAGTATGCTTCCAAAAGTATGTCCATCAACCATAAACCCACACCTTCTCATCCTTCTCAGAAACTCCCAAGCACTACCTAAATTCCCATAATTTACATACCCAGCGATCATCGAGTTCCATGAAACAGTATCTCTGTCGGGAATTTCGTCGAACAGCTTGAGAGCAAAACCCAACTCTCTGCATTTTGAGTACCCACTTAAAATATTGTTTGCAGTGTATGTATCACTAAAAGTTCCTAGTTTGATTGCCCCACAATGGGTTACTGAAACTTTGTTCAAAGAGGCCACTGAGCTTTCAATGAGTGAATGCAATGGCCTCATTCATAACTATTTCTAGTACATAAAAACAAAACTTGTTGTACATCAACACCCAATAATACAAAACAAGTAATCTTTTCATCTAGATCATACCCATTTCCTACAACTGATTTGCTTTAACAGAATAAAGCCAAAAGGATTCCAATTTTTGGCAACTTGGTGAAAACAAGCACATATAGAATCAAGAACACGAAAAGCTAAAGACACAACACGGCTCCAAGTAAATGGACTGGGCTGGGTCGGGTCGGACACAGTCGGGTTCCGTGATATTGGATCCCCCTTGAGTCAGGGTCCCAGCCAAGACATGGTACTGAACTGATTGGAATAATTTCAAAATTTTCACATTGTTTTTTGCTTTGACTTTTTTTTTTTTTAAAAAAAATAAAAATAATGTAGAGTGTGAAAATTCCCATGATTTCAATTTTTGTGTGAAAAGTTTTTGGAAATTGATTACACAATTTAAAAGTTCATGAATATACTTCTCTAATTCGAAACAAAAGTTCGCTGGATGGAATTGTAAGTAAGTTATATTATGAAATGAATGATTGATTATATGATTATAAATTGTAAATTATACTTGAAAAGTTTTCATAACATTTATTTCATTGTAACCAATTTTAGTTTAAGGTAATGTTGCATCACATGTTTAAATCACAGAAATAGTTTCTTCGCACGTAGTTGTGAGGCTACATGCATCTAATTTTCTCCAAACTCTATAGTAATAAAAATGTCGTGCACTAAGACTTCCCCTAGAAAATTGACTAAGCATAATACTTTTCTTTTTTTTTTTCCTTAATTCCTTCACAAATTCAAGATCTAAATACAAGTGGAAATGAAAATTAGAATATATATATGTGCCCAATGACAATACTTATGTTGACTTTCTACAAGATTTTCCAGCCATCCAAGCAGTTCTCTTTTGCAGTTTTCTTCCCCATTTCTTCACCCATTGCTATTAGTCATAGAACACAACTGTCTGACCTCCCCTTCATCACCTGTCTTCACGCCAACGCTAGTAAGCTTCAAGAATGCCCCGCCCCAACTATCAAAAAAACTAGCCTGCTTATTTGCAAACTCGACAACTCTATTCATCGTTCTTTTGTCATTAAGCAGAACTGAGTCTGATTGGAAAAGCCCCTTGTGGGCTAGGAGTTCCTTGTAGTATTGGTTGTCGAATAGGAGGGGAGTTCCAGGGTCATTGTTGACAGTAATGGATGCGCTTGCTCCTGCTGGACACTGTTTGGTTAGTTCCAATGCATAATTTTTGTCTAGAGATGAGTCGATGAGTGTGAGATTGCCCTTTGGATCGACTTGGAATCGGTCACTGAATGCACTGCAGTGTGCTGATCCTATGGTGTGAGCTCCTGCAATGTCATAGCAAGTGAGAAATTTCACTATATTCATTGAGTATAGTCTGCTCATAGAATTCTACTACAGCTAACATATCAAAAAACAAAAATAATTGTCTCTCTTTAAGTACTCATTGAGTAATATTTTTAAATTACTTCTTTTCGGATTTTATCAATTCTTTTTATAATTAATAGATGTGACAATCATAATTAAAATGTCGAAATTTAAAACAAAATAAAAAAAAAAAATGTATAAAATTTCTGAGTATTTTAAAGTTTTTTTCTAAGTACAGAGTATTATTGTTTACATTTTTACCTTTCGAATCATTTGTAGGATCTAAGCGTGAAATGGTAACAAAAACCCTACGACCACAAAAAGGTTATGCGAACAATTTGTGAGATATCAATATGTTCAGTACACGTAACTTTTATGCACGTGTCATTACTGCAATGATAACGTCAAGTAACTCCTTTCTTAATTTTCTCTCAATGAGGATCCTTTCTATACAACCTTCTATATTTTTTTTCAATAATTATTTCATTCACTAACTATGTGCCAAAGTTATTCAGTGCACTGTATGACATTGTCACACATGCACATGTATCCCATTATAAATTGGGGTAGGTTGCATTGCATCTACATCAATGTGTGGGGGGATGCCATACAATAATTGTTCACTTATATCTCTCAACTGATCACTCATTCAATTCACTCATTAGTACTGTAAATTTTCTATATAGACCAACTCATGAAATTGAATGTTCAAAACAACTAAAAATTCACCCAATTTTGCTTCACATGGAATTTTTATTTCTTGCCAGAAAGAACACCTATGCATGTTCCATTTCAATAAACACTTCTTTTTTTCCATTTTTCTTTTTTTGTATGAGCATGTTTGATACAGTTTTTCTTAACTTTAAAGTTGATAATTAAAAATCAAAAGCTAAAAATACCCACTACCTTCTACATAACCAACTTTTTCAGTTTACCTTGGCATCCTTTGGAAGTTAGTTAAAAAATTTATTGGCTAAAATAAACTTACAAAAAGCTAAAAATATTGCTAATTTTTTGGCTTTTTATGTAAAATGGCCAATTTACCCATGATAATAATGCAGCATATTTATAATGTACAAAATAAGAAAAAAGGAAGGGCAAAATAGGAAAATGGATGAAGTGTGAAGTTGAAAAGGTTGTGTACCTGAAAGGGTAACGAGGTCATCCAAAGACAACCCTTTGGAGGAGAAGAGCTTAATCATCTCATCCAGTGAAAAACTTGTGTCTACTATGTTTGGCCTCACATTTGAAGCTGCTGAAACCCTCCCATCTCTCCTCCCTGTTGGAATCTGAATCGCCGGTCCGCCAGTCTATTTTTGGCAATCATAAATAGTAAAAACCAAACCAGAAATTAAGTACAAAAATGTATCAGATTAAAGAAAATGTATCATAAGTTAGACAATATTACAATTTCTACAGCATCTCGAGCAGCCAAAGCAACAATATCAGCACAAGAAACTGTTCCTGGGCAAAATATTTCAAGCACTCTTTTTGCTGAGTTTATTACTGAGAATCCTCCGAGAGATGTGTTTGCTGGATCGGTTTTCTCTGCCGCCAGTCTATTTTTGGCAATCATAAATAGTAAAAACCAAACCAGAAATTAAGTACAAAAATGTATCAGATTAAAGAAAATGTATCATAAGTTAGACAATATTACAATTTCTACAGCATCTCGAGCAGCCAAAGCAACAATATCAGCACAAGAAACTGTTTCTGGGCAAAATATTTCAAGCACTCTTTTTGCTGAGTTTATTACTGAGAATCCTCCGAGAGATGTGTTTGCTGGATCGGTTCTCTCTGTTTTATTTCCTTCTAAAAGCACAGATGCATCACAACCCTGTAAACATCACACAATGAAAAGGAAAAAAAAAAAAAAATCTCTTAACTTCACAACAAATTATGTAACTCCATAAAGTATTTAAAAAGGTATTCTGAAAATTATGTGTATGGTATAAATTTAAATTTGATGCAATGTGATATATTTTTCACTTTCAAGATACTTTTCAGATATTTTTTCTGGGTGCATAGTACTGCTGGGTTTTGTGAGTGCATTTTTTTGCTTCCCTTGTTAACAGACATCAACGATACTATTAACCACAAAAAAAAAAATAATTTGCACAATTTGAATATAACAACCCATTCACTAACGGGTCTCACTGTCTGATATGTACTGTAAAAAAAATTATGTGGTTGATTCTTCGTTTATAGAATTACAATTAGAAAATTTTTATACAAACTAATAAATTTGACAAAATTTTAGAAATTAAAACTGAACGTACTTCATTAATATGACAAGTGTCTTTGTTTTTTTAGAAATTAAAACTGAACGTACTTCATTAATATGACAAGTGTCTTTGTTTTTAAAATTTATTAATTTATATATAACATTACTCTTTTTACTCTTATTGTAACAGAGACATGCATAGCCCAAACTCATTGCCTATCTCTCTCTTTCTTCTTGGAGACTAGTTGAAAACAAAACAATTACATATACCTCAACAAAGCAGTCATGGAAGAGCAAGCGAAGGAGCTTTCCGGGAAGTGAAGGATCGTCAGAAGAAGCTGATCTGACAGTGTTTCTAACAATGAGTTCGGCAGGTGGGCATGAAGCTGCATAGAAGTCGAATGAGAGGTTGGAAGAAGAAGAAGAAGAAGAAGAAGAAGAAGAAACTATAAAGATGACAAGAAGCATAAGAAGTTTTTGGAAATGAGCTGTTGGATAACAAGAAGTAAGAATGGGTTTTTTTTCCATTAGGATACAAGAAAAGCAAATGCTCTATTCTATCTGTGCCGAATCTGGTGATTTTTTTTTCTTTTTTTGTTTCTCTCACTTCAAATTTTACCCAGTCCAGAGAGAGAGAGAGAGAGGCTGGTGATGGTGAGTGAGCATGTATGTATATTTAAAGCTGCATTTATGGGATTTGGTGGTAGCAGGGGAGTTGGATGGGGGTTACTAATACAACGCTGATAGTAGAAGAGATGAGTTTTCTCAAACTACATTCATTTTAGATTTGCAGACTCTAAACTAGAGCTAAGAAAAGCTCTACTGCAATTGTTTTATCTGATTGTCATGATTCTAATCCGTTTCAGAAAAGGAATGCTATATAAGCAGGAAAAAAAAATAAATTAAGAATAAATTAAAAATAATGTTTGAGAATTTTAATGCAATTCTAATAATATGAAAAGTGATAATGTGAAGATGGGGTTCACAAAGTGTAAAAAAATGTCTCATGTTCCTTGAAAAACTAACACTTGTGTTAAATAGTAAGGGTTGGCAGACCCTAGCTAAATAAGGTTTGGATTGAGTTCGAGACTAGTTTGTCTAGTCCAGCACAATACCAAAAAAAATAAAATAAAATAAAAAAATATTTAGATAGCATTTGACAGAGTTTTCTAAATATAATTTGAAAATAGAAGTTTTATTTTGAGTTTATGAGTTTTGAAATTATAATTTGAGTATGAAAAATTTGTTTGGTGAATGAGTTTTGAAAAAAGTTTAGAATTGAGTGGAGAATTTTTGAAGTGACATATGATATTTGATACAAAAACTTAAAACTCATAATCAAACACATAACTCAAAATTCTAATCATAGCTTATAAAAAAAATTTAAAAATTTTGAAATTTTTTTTATTTAAAATATAAAAAATAACAGGTGATAATTGTTAAAAAAAAAAAATATACTGTTCCGGTCAACTGCCCGGTCAACCTGCCAAATGTCTAGGAACACGATCAGCCGGACGCTTGGGAAAACAACCGATTAGTCCAAATTTTTTTGCCTTGAATAGAGTTTGCAAAAATGAGTATGAAATTAATTTTAAAAACTATAAATAAACGTCACGTACAAATTAAAACGTAGAACTAAAGTTTCAAAACTCTATCAAAAACAGCTTTACTTTTTTGTTTTTTTTTTAAGTAGGCTCGAACATCAACACATTAACCCATTGGGTCAAGCTTGGGCCCAAGATTTTTTGCCTCACCGTCAAAAGAGTTGGTTAGGCTTAGTTCACAGGTTTTGCAGTCTGATTAACAAGATTCAAGAAGAATTGTCGGTGTTTTAGAAAGTTGGTAAAAAATTGATTTTTGACTTTTTTAATCAAAAAAACTAACTTTTTGAGTAGTAACTTGGGTAAAAAAACTAACTTTTTTAACTAAAAAAAGTCAAAAATTAATTTTTTGCTAACTTTCCAAAACAAGCCTATGTAATGGTGAGTATATAATCTCACTCACCATTCAAAGTAGAGAAACCATATCATAATGAAATGTTACTTATGTGACAAATTTAACATTTATTAACTTTGTACCAAAGGTTTGGCATAAAACTATTTTAACACACTATTTGACATAATCATTGAAAATTCTTTTTAAAAAATCATGTCATTTTTTAGCTTTAGCACAAAGATGCTCTTATTAGAGCATCTTCAATAATTTGTCATTAGAGCTACCATTGCTATAATGGTGCTGTTTGGTGTAACTGTTAAAACAGACTATAGATTATAACTTAACAGATTATAGATTATGACTTTAATCAGAAGCTGTTAATCTGTTTGGTATAGCTGTTGGATTATAGATTTAAGTTGCTGAGTAGTGTTTGTTAAATAAGCTGTGTGTAGCTTTTTCAATTAATTTTTATTTTTTACTATTCATTATTTGTCTACATTTTTCATAAAAAATAATAATAGTATTTTATAGTCCATTTGGGTCTTTTTCTATTTTTAAAAAAATAAAAAATAAAAAAATCTAAGAGTATAACCGTAAATTAACATGTCCACAGCAGAAGCTGATAATCAGAAACAAGGGGTGAGCAGCTTCTCAGAATCAGCTTTTTTGACTTAAAATAAGTTGTTAGAATCAGAAGCTGTTTGAAATAAATTTAACCAAACAGTCCAAAATAACTTTTTAAAAGCCAGAAGCCATAAGCTGGCTCAAAAAAGCCACACCAAACACCCCCAATATAGTAGTTGTGGTGAAAAATGATGCTTCAATAGTTGAATATACCAGCTGCCAAATTTGAGAAATGCCAAAGGTTGCTTGAAATTTGACACGAGCTTTGACAGTGCTATTTGTGCCAACTCAGCCAAAACCAACTGTGTCCTTCTCTCTCTCTCTTTTTTTTTTTTTTTTTTTTTTTGGGTGGGTAAGTCATAAAGTAAAGACAATGAAATTTACATGTTTACAAGGGGCATACCCCAGGCACGCCCAACAACAAATAAAAAAAAAGATTAAAAAACCAACAAAGTTACCACTGCACACCTCCCCTAAGAAAAAGGGGGGTAAATACAAGAACAACCGAAAAACAAAATAACCGAACTTTGCCCATATATCCTTTTAGTCCCCAAGTAACCCCTACCATCATAGATTAGAGATGGAAACTTGGGGTGGATACGTGGGCAAAGATACAAATAAACACAACGCATAATAAAACACACCAGACAAACACGCAAAGCAACAACCCTCAAACCCAGTCAAAAATGATAACCAGTCTCTACCGCAGATAAACACATGGAGTCCAATAAGCATCCCACTCCTCACTGTCGTGACATTCTAGTCACTAACCAAAGTCGTGATGGAGGAAAAAATCTGCCCTGCGGGAAATCCCGACATAGTCACATGTTTCACCATTTTTTTCACCATTTTTTTTTAATCAAAATTCACCAAAAAAAATTTCAATAAATTTTTTTTTTTTAATTTACCCGAAATCAATAAAGTTTTTTTTATACCAAAATCAGTCACCAACAATCAATAAATCTCAAACAAATTCAACAAATCTCATATTCAGCAAAACAAAATTAACAATTTCATTGCAGCTTAACAAGCAATTTCATAACTTCAAATCTCAAAATATGAACAATATTGAAAATAATAAATACTTGGTTTTGGTAGTTCAAAGTAGATCTAGTGGTGAATCATAATGTCAAAGGAAGCGGTAAAGAGATCGCCGACGGTGGGAGCAGATCTGGTTTTGGTAGTTCAAAGTAGATCTGGTGGTCCTTGGTTTAGAATTGGTGATCATCTCTTCAATGTTGTCCAATGTTGCCGATCCATTCTAGGAATGTGTGTGTGTGTGAAAGAGAGAGAGAAGAGTGAGAGAAAGAGAGGAGTGGGATTAGACGACATCGATTGACTGTACCAGAGTGCAGAAAGAGAAGTTCCCACCGTGGGAAGGAGTTTGCACCGTCTCCGATCAAAAAGAGATAGAGTGAGAATAAGAGGAAGATTGAGAGAGAGAGAGAGAGAGACTGAGAGGGAGAAAGGTTGGTCTTTAGAGAGAGAGAGGGAGAACAACAGAGTCACTTTTAGCTTGGAATAGGCTGGATGATTCTGGATCATTCATCTCAACCGTTAGAAATGATATTACTTGGATGGTGGTGATCTGTCTTGGAAAAGCAATAGAGCCGTTGGTGTCACATTACTGAAAACCCAATTGTTGGGAATTCGCAATCTCATACTCATTTTTGAGAAAGAATTTTTGGAAATTATTACTCACTGCAGAATGATCATTCAAGAACACAAATGTTTGTCTCATCTCGATGAGGTATAATCATAAGATGCTACAACAATTTTAGTGGGTGTTTAGTGAAAGTAAAAAATCTATACCTAAGTAGGATGTCTCAAGAGAAGAAAAAATGATTCAAATACTGTAGGAGATGAAAGAACTTTAAATCAAAAGACAAAAACATGAGATCAAAAAGGAAGAACTTTTGATAATGACTACGGACATTTCTCATTTGGACCCTCAGATGAAAATGAATTACATAATGCGAAAAAATAAAGATTGCGTTTGGTAGAGTTTTGTAAATATGATTTGAGAGTATGAGTTGTATTTTGAGTTTGTGAGTTTTAGAATAATGATTTGAGTGTGGAAAATTTGTTTGGTGAGAGAGTTTTGAATTGAGTGAGGAATTTTTGATGTGACATATGATATTTGATACAAAAACTTACAACTCATAACCAAATATACAACTCAAAATTCTATTAAAACACATTAAAAAAATTTAAAAATTCAAAAAATATTTTTTTTGAATATATAAAAATTAATATATGTAAATTGCAAAAAAATAAAAAATTGCACTATTCCAGTCAACCGGCCAGACGACAGGCGAGACGTCCAATGAGACATTTGGTGGGACGACCGGTTAGGCCAAATTTGAAAAAAAAAAATTTGAAAATCGCACTGGAGACAGAGTTTTCTGCAGAGTTTTGAAAACATGATTTGAGAACTGGTTCCAAACATCATATTTTAATATGGGTGTAGAATCATTGTTTGGAAACACAACCAAACACAGCCTAAAATTTTTGCCAAGTGGTCCACAAATGTCAGCAATCCAAATTATTATTTTTCCCCGTCTCTTGGTGAATAATTACAGGAGAATGTATTTTTTAATTTTGCAGTATCATTTATTTTTTAATGTAATTTTTAGTCTTTATTTGTAATGTCATTTTTATGTTCCAATTTAATTTTGAGTATTTAATTTTTTTTTTCAATTTTTCAATTTCTTATTCATTTTTTACATTTGTCTAGTTGCGTATAAGATAAATATATAATTTTTTTTTACAAACAATTAAAAAAATGTCACAAAAGACAAAATAAATAAATAAATAAAAATCACTAAAAAACTTATATCTAAATAAATTTGGAGAAAAAATTAGTTGAGATTTGCCAAAATAGTATGTTTATCATTCGAGGACTATTGCTATAATTTGACAAATTACTATTATTCATTACCAAATTCGAATAATAGCAAATACCATTGAAAATGTTCTTAATTTTACATATTGATTTGCAATTTCCTTAAATAATAATAATAATAAATAAATAAATAAATAAATAGGTAGAATGGACAAAAACCTCAGTCAAAGAAAATATTTGAAATTCACTCCAAAGTTGTAAATTTGTGGCCAGCATCAGTGCACCAAGACAACAAGCTACCACCTCTCTCTCTCTCTCTCTCTCTCTCTCTCTTTTTCTTGTGCTTTCATTTCTTCATCAAACTACTCCTCCCACCCAATTCTCAACCCTTCTTCTCGACACAATATCAATGGCTCTGTTGCAGCCATTTTTCTCTGTTATTTTCTTCTCGAAAACCCTCCATTTCTCACCCCCACCCAGAAAAACACCAACATTAACGACCATTCAAACAAACAGAGTTGTCCCTCTCCTCCAACCATTCAAACCCCATCATCAATCACACCCATTGAAGAACTGGACAAAATGCTCTGCTGTGGCAGAGATTGGTGGTGGGTTAGCAGTAGAAGATGAAGGATCAGAAGGGGATGAACAGAGTGTTCTTGTGGGTCCTTCTACTGAAGAGGGCGTGAGTTCTGAGAGGGTTTCAGTGGACTATGATTGGACTCAGGAATGGTACCCACTTTATCTAACCCAGGATGTTCCAAAAGATGCTCCTTTGGGTCTCACTGTTTTTGATAAACAGCTTGTTCTGTATCAAGATGGTAAGGGTGTGTTTCGGTGTCATGAAGATCGGTGTCTCCATAGGTAAATTTTACCCAATATCTATGATCTTGGTTTATTATGCTCTATATATGATTGGTTTTGAATCTATTGATAATGTTTTAAGATTTTTATCTTTGAAGTTCTTGTTTATCTTAAAAGTTCTTCATTAGGTGGATTTAGCTTGTGGAGATGATAGTGTAGGCACTAAAATTCTATTAAAGGGTGTGTTGGATTGTGTGGATTTGGAATTTGATTTCAGAAATTAAATTTGAGCCAACTCAATTAATTGAATGATAAGGCATCTTAGTTTGATTTTGATTGCTAATGCGGCTTAATGGCATCTGGTTTTTCGGTTTATATACCTCAACAAGTTTGTTGCCTCATATGCCTTGTTTGGTGATTTAGAAGAATAATGTTCTTTCTTAATATGATAGTATGATATACCTATTTCGGGTAAGTCTGGTTTTCATTGCTTAGGTTAGAGTGAAGGATTCGATTAAAACTGATGTTAAAATTCCTCAGTACTCTTTAGTAGCGCAACTAACTTTTTCATGCCCCTTTGAACTTTAATTCAAGACCATGTATGTGTGTATGTCTGTGGCAGAGAGTGAGGGAGAGATGATGGGACATCTTTTGAATTATGCAATTGAAATCCATGGATGTACGTGTCTTGTACTAAAAAATTTGCAACAATCATCCCTAACTAGAATTCTTCACTGAGTGTCTGTACTTCTTAGACTAGGAGAAGTGTATCAAAAAGTTTCCTACCCCAAATCAAATGAATAAACTAATAGTTAGTATTGATTCTTTGGGATGAATGCCTCGTGTCTGATCTTGTTTGTTACTTTGCAAAGATATGGTATTCTCTATGTATGAGGTGGTCATGGTTATTGTAATTGGAGATCATACAATAACTATTTTGGTAGTTTTTTACATGAATGTAGCAATTTTGGAATCCCGAACCGATTATCATCATAACCCTGTCTGTGAAACTTATTGATTAAGGTTAGCAAAACTCTCTGAAGGCCAGTTGGTTGATGGAAGGCTGGAATGCCTGTACCACGGTTGGCAATTTGAAGGTGGGGGTAAATGTGTGAGGATACCTCAGGTTTGTATAACGCTTCGTGTCCCTATAATCTGTTGTTTTGTACATTACCAACCAACCTCTACATCTGAAAATTGAGTTTGATGAATTTCTTTCGCAATTATGTTTTCCACACAGCTTCCCGCCAATGCAAGGATTCCCCAATCAGCTTGTCTTAAAACATATGAGGTTCGGGAATCCCAAGGAGTCGTGTGGGTATGGATGTCCCAAAAGATACCGCCAAATCCTAGTAAATTGCCTTGGTTTGAAAATTTTGCCCGGCCCGGGTTTCAAGATACTTCAACAACACACGAACTTCCTTACGATCATTCCATACTTCTCGAGAACCTTATGGATCCGGCCCATATCCCTATCTCCCACGATAGAACTGATTGGACGGCGAAAAGGGAAGATGCCCAACCATTACTATTCAAAGTTACTGAAAGAACAGATCGAGGGTTTGCGGGTTGGTGGGGCAAAGAAAAAGATCAATCCATGCCAAATTTCTTACGGTTTGAAGCACCATGCGTTCTACAGAACAACCGAGAGCTTGTTGATGAGAAGGGGGAGAAAAACTATTTTTCGGGCCTCTTTCTTTGTACGCCATCTGGGCAAGGCAAATCCCTGCTCATTGTGAGGTTTGGAGGCACAAAAAGTTCCCCGCTCGCAAAATTGTTCCCAAAATGGTATTTCCATCAGAACGCGAGTAAGGTTTTTGAGCAAGATATGGGTTTTCTCTCATCCCAAAACGAAGTTTTGTTGAAAGAAAAAGTTCCCACAAAAGAATTGTACATTAATTTAAGGTCATCAGACACATGGGTTGCAGAATACAGGAAGTGGATGGACAAAGTAGGGGACGGGATGCCTTATCATTTCGGCCACAGCACAATTTCACTGCCTAAAGTGCCTGCTGTGGTGGAACACGCTCCGGCTGGACTTGTTGCCAGCATTTCAGCTTCTTTGCCGGCCAAGGGAGGAATCGGGACAATGTACGCGCCAAACCTTTCCAACAGATATTTCCGGCATCTAATCCATTGCAAGGAATGCAGAAGTGTTGTTAAAGCATTTCAAGCATGGAAAAATGCTCTCTCGATCATTGCTCTCGTGTCGACTGCATTTGCAATTCTTGTGTCAGGAAGGCAGTGGAAGACCCTTTTCTTGGTTTGGACAACCCTATGCTTGGCGGGAATCTATGCATGCTCGACTGCAATTGCAATGAATACAACAAACTTCATAAGGATACACAGAAGACTGTAAGCCAAGAATGGTACGTTTCATGATTTGTCAGTTTTTTTCAAGGCTGAACAATAAAGGAAAAAAAAGAAAAAAAGAGAGAAGAATTATTCATATATAGAATTACACAGGTTGATTAGATTATTCATATGACGACTCCATCACGTATAATATTTTAAATTTAATTAATTAAGAAAATTTGGATTTTAATTAGTCATTATTCTGATTTAATTTGGGATTTATGAGAATTATTGAGTCTGATTCGTGTATGATTATGTCAAGGATTTATTTTGAAAGCCTAAATGGCCTAAGGAGGTGAAATTGATTAGTTGAATTAGTCTAATTTCAAGTATTGGATCATATGGGAGGTTAATTAAATATTTGATTCAGTGTAGAAAAATTAAGATTTGATTTATTGGGTCCGAATTAGAATTAATTAAGTTAATTAAGAAATGAGGATTTGTAATTAAGATTATTCTGAATTAAATTTACTTATGAGATGACCAATTTAAATGTGTAATTTATTAATAAGAATATTGGGTCTGACTAGAAATTGAGAGCCTTAATGATTTGAGAAACCAAAATTGATAATGACAATAAGTTTAATTTAATATTTAGAGTCTTTTGGGAGGTTGATTGAAAATCTGATTCAAATTAATAAAATTAAATATGATTAATTAGGCCTTAATTGAAAATAATTAGATTAATTGGTTTATGTGGGAATTGATCAATTAAGATTAAGTATGGTTAATTGTGATTTAATTAAGCTAATTGTGTAATCAAGAGTTAAGATAGTCCCACTTGTGTGTATGTTTTTGTGTTGGAGACCTTAAGTCAAAAGATGGGTCATTTCTTACTTGTCTTCTGCTAAGAAAATTGGGTGTGGGTGTACAGAGAATTCTGTTTGTGTATTTTGATGAGTCAAGTGTTAGACGTTTAGAATGTTCTAAATAAGTGTATTTTTTGACTTTTAAAAAAAAAAATTTGTGTAAAAAAGTAAAAAAAATGAGTAGAAAAGTAAAGAAAAGATGTGGATAGATGTTGATTGATGTGACCCAAATAAGTGTATGTATGCAAAAAAAGTACACGTTTTTAGTGCATGCCAAACAAGCACTCATTTTGCATTGTGTTGGGAGCAAGCTTTAGAGAGAGAGAGAGCTCCTAGAGAGAGAGCTCCTAGAGAGAAAGAGCTCAAGACTTGTCAAATCTTGAAATTGAAACCTTAGGTAAGGAATTTATGCTTATATTTTGTAGAAAATCCTCCATATATCATGAATCAAGAGAGTTGTTGAGTTAATTCCATAGTTTTTTGTAAGAAATGGGTTCAAAGCAAGAATTGAGCTACATGCATATTCAAGGAAGATTTCATCATTTTGTTTAGAATTTTAAAGTTCTTACGTGCATGAAAGCTTTTAAATTGCATAAGATTTCAGAAAATCCATGAATTCATGTCCTCAATTTCATGTTTTTTTCTTAAAGGGAAAGAGGTTTGAAAAGTTTTACATGCTTGATTAATTATGTAGTGTTTCATCATTTTGAGCATGGTTTTTATTATCTTTGTTGAATTTGAGAATTAATTACACATGCGTCGTTAATTTTTAAAGTTTTGAAGGAATAATTTCATGAATTTAATAGTTCAAGTTCATGTTTTGAGAAACAAGAAGAAAAGAGTTTCAAATCATTTATATGCATGGAAGTTTCGGTTCAATCCTTGTTAAATTAAAAATGGGTTTGAGCAAATGGTTTATAAAGGAGCATGTATTTATGTTTTTAAAAATATTTTCACGATTTTGATCAGGACATACAAGAATTTAAGTTTGGAAATGTGTTTGATGCCTTTTTTGTTGCATTTCAGAGCCCAGAAATTTACAGACCGCTTGAGCGGTTACTACCGCTCGAGTGCACATAACAAGCATCCAGTATTTTTGCAGACAACGCAGTCCGGTCAAGCCTATTTCTGCATATTTTGAAAATTACATCTTTTTCATGTTTCATCCTCATCTCTTCCCAAGCATTTGTGAGCATGATTTACGGCTCATTGAAAATGAATAAGTTTAGAACCAAAGTAAGTAATTAGTTATGAAGCAAAGTAAGGGATTGGTTTATTAGATAGAGAAAGAATAAGTGAAGTAGGAATTCGGTTTACTTAGAGAAAAAAAAGAATAAGATAAGTTATATGTGATCAAGAGAGTAATAATTGTGTTTCGATATGTTTGTTTATGTGCTTTACGTAAGTTGGGTGTTTGAGGAATTGTATTCAAGTCAAACCTACTGTGAGTAATATTTTTATAAAGATATGTTCGAAAAGTATGTTGTAAATTGTTATATGAATAATGTTTATGAAATACTATTTTATATGAATGAATGAATGTTCTTTTTCGAAATGTATTCATGGCATCCAGTAATAAGGCCCTCTCCAGGAAGAAACAATACCATGACCATTTGTTAATAAGGCCCTCGCCAGAGAGAAACAATACTGTGGCCCTTCGTTGATAAGGCCTTTGCTTGGGAGAAACAATACCAAAGCCCTTTGTTATTTGATTACAGAGATCTCTAATGTTGATCCGAGTGGTCCCGTTGGTTGACCTTCATGGTCCCTTTGATTATGCTTTCGGGCCTTCGTATTCAATTAGATGTACTACGTATAATGTTTTGATGTTGAACTTCAATATGAAAAATGCTTGGTTTGATTCAGATATATGTCTCATTTGAAAATGTATAGATTTTTATATGATAAATGTTTGCTTTGGAAACAATGTTATATGACATTTGAAAATGTAAAATATGGCATGTGCCTTGTTTTGAAAATGATATAAAGATTATTGTTTTGAAAATGAAAGACATGTTTTATATTATTCTGGACTTCATTCATTAACCTCTTTATTTTGGTATTACTCACTAAGCTTTAGCTCACCCCTCTTCCTTGTACATATGTAGGTAAGCAATTGGAAGATCAACATTATAGTTTACTTCGAAGTCCGTCCATTTGCATCACGCCACCCAAGAGTGCCTTCATGTTGAGGTTTTAGATTTATTTTGCCAGGCATGCTAAGCTGTGTATTTTATTGAAGTCTTATGTATATGTATATATGTACGTGTGTGAGATGTAGATGTATAAGATTTGTATTTGTATATATTAAAAGTGTTCTTGAATATTTTAAATATTTCAATTCATCATGTATGCACAGCTCAATGGACATTAATCTTTTTTGTTAGGTCCCTTAGTGTTGCTAATTTAGCAAACAAACATTGTATATCGAGTTATAAAGTTTCTTGAAAATTTGGTTTGCTCGCTCGAGCGAAGGAAGTTTGGTTCAAGCGAAGAAACTTTGGTCCCAGTAATTTTCGCTATTTGCAAAAATATTGAGAAGGGTAATTGTGCACTCGAGCAAACCTTTTGATGGCTCGAGCAAAGACACTTAAGGCAATACACGCGTATCAATCTCATCGCTCGAGTGATAGTTCCTGCACTCGAGCGACCATTGTGGCCCTATTTTTCATAAAGCTAAGTTTCAGTCAAATTTTAGGGCATAGCTTTCCGATCATCTTTTTGGGAATTAGGGTTTTCTTCTTGAGAATTTTTGCTAGTTTCTTTGATATTTGTTTGAGTTTAACTCATGGTTTGATTAATATACATTAAAGGATTGTTTGATTATTCAATACAAGAGTGTTCTTCTTCGGTAGATTCCGAAGATTTGAGCTTAGAGTCTTTGAAGGCGTTCGAAACTGCTCGTGGTCGTTGATTCGACATGGATGTTGTGGATTCAACATCAATGTTAAAATATGTTAATATTATATGTTAGTGATGCTAGTGGTATCATTATGTTTAGTTTGCTTTATGCTTTCGGTGCCTCAATTGGCACCCAATGTTGGCTTTCTCCTCTCTATAAAGAGAGTGTAAATCTCTTTGTAAATACATCAAGATGTATCAATAAATCTTGTAATCTATCAATCAATCAATAATATACATCAAATATTACAATCAAGCTAATCAATTTCAAGACGAAGGTGTTGGTGAAAGAGACACGGATTGTTGAAGACAATTTTACAAACTTTGGGTAAATTGTTTAGTAAATTTGTGTTCTTTCTTTCTTCATAGTGGGTTGATTAGTGACGTTTCACCCATGATTTTTTATCACAATTGGTGGTGCTCCAACTGTGATTTTTTCCATGTAAAAATTGTTTATGTTCATTTATTATTTGTGGAATAACAATCTAAATCACCTTCGTACGTACTAAATGATTTAGATTGCTAATTTTGGTTGGTTGGGAATTATAGTAATTAAATCTATAATGAATCACGTAGTTTTTCATTTTTGTTTTGCTTCCACTTTAGACTCTGATATTAATATATATTTTTGAAATTTTGTCTTTGAGGTCTAGGTACAAGCCAATTATGGCCTAAACCTTTAGGGGTGAGTTTGAATCGTGACAATTCAGTTTTTGAATGTAGGTGTTGTTAATACCTAATTTTTGTCAATTTGTAATATTGTACAAATCAAAGCAAATGATAATTGTTTTAGATTAGTACTTATTTTATTAATTGAAAGCTTAGGCCCGTTTATTTTTAGAGGTAGAATGGAAAGGATTGATAGTGAGGGGGATTAATAGTAAGATGATTGATAGTGAAAGATTAAGTAAAATTGTGTTTATTTTGATGATAGTTGTTAATGTGGGGATTGTTAAATTATTACCCTATAAAAGAAATATAAAATATTAAAACAAATAAAATTATGATTTTTACTTAACAAAAAATACAAAAATATTAAACATTAATGTTAAAAAAAAATGCCCAACATGTAAATAAAAAAATTAAAATAAATAAAAAAACCTAATCCAATGGGATTAATTTCTTAAGAGAAAAGTTAGGAATCATGAAAATTTTTTCATGAAAATGATCATGAAAGATTTATGATCCTTGGATTACCTTGATTAGTGTGTGGTGCTTTATTCTAAGTGTAATCTAAGGGTCACAAAGCTTTCATGATTATTTTCATGAAAGGTTTTTCATGATACCTAACATTGCTGATTTCTTAATATCATCTCTACCTCCTCTATCTCAATCCCAACTCCAAGGCCTAAATTATGAATCTTCTCTCTATCTCCCAAAAAAAACACGACATATAATGGGTCCCACCTTCATGTCAATCCCACCAATAACTCTCAAAATAAACGGAACCTTAATCCTTCTTGGATGATGAGTGTTGTGGTAAAGTGCTCCTCTATATATTTTCCTTATTAGCATAACGAAAGGATTTTAATACCTGGTTAAAGGCATATAGAATTAGAACGATGGTGAAAAAGTTGGGGCCGTGTACGAAACAAGAAATTGAAGAACACAGAATCAATCACATAATTACACGAGGAAGCAATCTGAATAAAACAATATTTCCAATGGTGAAAGTCGTATCCGTTGGTTTAAACAGAACAAGTTAAGGCAATGGTGGTCTTGGTTTTCGGATTTATTGAAGCTTTTAATCTCTTTGCTGCCCTAATAGAGCCAGAATTTATTCAAGTTAGCAAACTTCTCCATATAATCTTTGCAAGGCAATAATTTCCACAAACATTTTTTTGGCAAAGCTAGATCAACGTGCATCTCATGGCAGTGTCGCAAAAGCTTGGTAACCAGAGGTTGGAGATGGAATATTGGTGATAGTAAATTAATGAATCTAAGAGTCAATTATTAATTTTTTAAAAAAAAAAAAAAAGACTGAATGGACTTTTCAATGGTAAAACTTCATCAAGAAGAAGATGCAGGTGTTTCTGATTTGGACAGCTACCTGCACTACAGAATTCGACCAAAGTTTTTTTTTTTCTTCTTTCTGTGTTGTTTTTTTTGGGTCAAAATACTGGGGCAGAGCAAATATAACTCCCTCAAAAACCCTGGAATGGCAATGAACAAAACACTATCCATTAAGCACCAACAAGAAACAAAACAATGTGATGGCTCGTGAGGAGCAGTCCAGAAAACCTACATTCATTTCTCCTCAATTTTCCGTTTCCCAATCAGCAGGTGAAATGGGACTTGGAAACATCAAAAACACCGAAAATGAAAAAAAAAAAAAAAAAGAACAGAAAAACAGAAACACACCATGCCCCTTCCAAGCTCTTAAGTAACTTGCTTACTAACAATAATCAAGTGTCAATGTTCAAAAAGAGTCTCAGGAGCCTTATTAATCCATTGAGCTTCAAATCAAACCAAATAACTAGCTTCAAACAAAACACAGAATGCTATCTGAAAAAACTCCATGCCAACAAGGTTATCCAAGTGAAGAAGTTCGATTAAAGAGGCCCTGCGAAAATCCCATTCTCCCTCTGCTCATTCCACCTCTCAATCTGCAGTAATGAATGGAACGAACAAAATAAGAAAAAAGTAAAGACCTACAACCAATGCATTCATGATTTATTAACTGGCAGCCAGAGATACATAGAATAAATAACTCATTCATGATTTAGTTTAGGACCTACAAATCATTTTCTTATGGTTTTATTTTATTATAATCATCACAGTTTAATCAGAAAACTTAAGGGTTGTTTTGAACCAATCAGGGCAAAGCACGTGTTTTATTTGTTCTTTTATTTTATTTTTTAAAATCAAGAACATAGGAATAGGGGCTTCAAGTGTTGCAAGAGGTTTGGCTTGCCACATGGTTATTCACAGAGGCCACAACACTCTATACCATAAAGTAACATTTTCATGGTAAACATTGTTTCTTAGCCTTGATTATCATGCTCAATCAAGTCTTCACAATGATCAATAAAGTCAATGACTAATATTGTGACTTTGAAAATTGAACCATAGCCAATCCCACATTTATATCAGAGAAAACCAAAGCTTATGAGTCATGACTGAGGCAAAACAAATTCTAAATAAGGCAAACTACGATCAAGAGACCTATTTCTAAACAACTATGCTATCTAAATTGTTTTTTTCTTTTTGTTCTGTATTCTTCTTTGGTCTTCATGTATGTGTATCTTGTGTGCTTGCACCCACACACAGATCAGACTAGTGTAAAATTCTTCATAAACTCAAAAACTTCTTGGCAACTCTATTTATTCCTAGCTGTCTTCAAAAGATAAGCATCTCTTCCATGCCAAAAATACCATCATCAGGTGTCAGTAGCTAAGCTCACTAAGCCAACAGTCCAATTCAATATTTCAATGTGGAAAGAGAGAGACAGTGAGGATGCCGTTATATAAGTTAGTGGGAAACTTTTCTGCTTCCCAAGCAATATAGGACTCTCTCTGAGTGGAGCCCCAAAAAAGAAAGTCCATATAGGGGGGTGTTTGGGAAGCAACTTTTTTGGCTAAAATAGTACTAAAAGACAAAATATGCTAAAATAGCCAATAAAACAAAATGTTACATCAAATTCATAATCATTTCACCTTTTATCTCACAAACATCACATCCAACTACAAAAAAATCCAACTATCTTTCCAAACACAAAAATTTTAACCTCCTAAAATAGCCTATTAAAATAGCAACTTCCCAAACACCCACATAGTAAGATAACTATACTCATTTATATGTGAAAGTCTGCCTTTGTTTTCACGAGTAGGATTGTTGAATTCTCAAATTGGTTCAATTTTTAAGCTCATTCCCAATCCTGGCCTAAACCTCAGGAAGTGGTTAACTAATATTTTGAGCCAAGATGAACTGTGGCAACAAAGAACCAAATCACACCAATCCAATTTGTAACTCATTTTATCAATATATTATTTTTTAGTTGCTCCACATTTTCTCACAAACCATCACTAGCCTTAAAATATATGTGTGCGCGCTAAAAGCATTTCTTGATTCTACGGATCACACATCATTTGTATTATAGAATTTTATCATGACTTAAATTTAACCAACACTTCAATCCTTTCAAAAAATAAATGATAATAAAATAAATAAATAAATAAATAAAGTAGCTATTCTATCTAGTATACTGATCTATGAAGCATGGACACGGCAGATTTCATGCCGTGGCAGTGTCTGACACGGGGACACGCCGGGGACACGGGGACACGTACGGGACACGCCGGGTGGCGTGTCCCTTTAATTTAATTATTTTTTTACAGGGGACACGGTGGAGACACGGCGGAGACACGCGTGTCCACCAAATCTGGACACGCGTGTCCAAATCTGGACACAGAGAGCCAAAAAGAAGAGTAAAGGAGAAGAGTAAAGGTCTTGAAACAAACCTGGACTTCGATCCAGTCCAGTCGACTTGCTGGCGACCTCCATGACTTCGATCCAGTCCAGTCACTCGCCGGCGACCTCCATCACCTTCGACTTCGACGATCCAGTCGCCCTTCGACTTCGACGAGCTCTCTCTCTCACCTTCTCTCCCTCGCGATCGCGATCGCGATCGATCGCTTCTTCCTCTCTCTCTCTCAGTCACGTCTTATTTAATCTGCTGATTCATATATGTATATAATATATAACTATTATTATAATCTGCTCTGCTGGATTCATATATATATAATATAACTATTATTATTATATTATAATAATAACTGAAAGTATTATTATTATAATAGTATAAAGGATGCCACAGTTATTATTAGTATATAACTATTATATTATCTATACTTATACATATTAATAAAAATAAATAAATATGTATATAAAATAAAATAAAAAAATTAATTAGAACATATTATTTAAAAAATATAATAAATAAATAAAATAATTAATATGTATTAAAATAAAAATATTTATAAAAAAATTAAAAAATCTGCCGTGTCCCCTGCCGTGTCCGTGTCCCCATTTTTTAAAAATTGACGTGTCCCGTGTCCGTGTCAGTGTCCGTATGCGTGTCCGTATCCGTGTCCGTGCTTCATAGATACTGATTCATCAAGACTTGGTGTAAACATATAAGCACATACTCTAAACTATAAAATAAAAATGCCAAACCACATAGTATTAATATATTAAGGAATCCAGAAGCATAAAAGTGAAATTGATTAATTTGGTATAATTGTAGTCAATTCATCATCTGTGCAAACAGGACAAAATATAACTCATTAAGCCTATCTACCATAATGCATCCAAACATATTAGAAGAAATTGCCAAGTCAAAACAAACCAAGAAAAAATTTATTTTAATAGCAATGGCACTCACCCATTCACCTGGGCAAAGGGACCGGTAATATTTGGCAAACCTCTGACATTCACTAGACTCCTCTCCTTTTGCTGCTAAGCACCTGCAGTTTTTGATTGAAGAATAAAAAATAAAAAAAGACAATTACATAGTTCTACAATAAGTTGGTAAGATGTTTAAAACTCTTTGTATAGAGCCCATTCATTCATGAATGCCTCAAAATGCTATAATACTAAAAAGGTGTGCCTGTGAAACTCAATGTAGCGAGTGAAACAGTGTCTGGTCTGATTGGTTGTAGGAAACCGAAAATCAGCTGGTGCAGTCTTCAGTTCAATCTGAAAGGAAACATAAAGAAGTTGATATTAGTAAAAAAGAAAAAAAAAAACAACAACAACAACAACAAATAAGTTTCAATACCCTTTGTGGCAAATTTGTGACAGTTTTTATGTCAAACATAAATAAGTTTTACATTGACAGTTTTAATGTTAAACATCACAAGTTTGAGCAAAATGACTTAGAATCCAATAATAAAATAAAATTAATGTAGATTTATACCAATTAATCATTCATTCATCAAACTTTATAAATTAGTGTTATGTTGCATTTTTTATTATCTTTGAATGAAGTATTCATATATCTAGCATATAATAAATATATAAAAATACACATTCTGCGTGTGTTCCCCGTGTCATGTTTTGTATTTTTTTAAAAATTGTCATGTTGACATGTTCATGTCCATGCTTCTTAACTCAACACTTCGAAATTCTAAAAACAAAAGATTAATTGACTCTCTTGCTTCTTCACACACAGTGTGTCTACTTGTATTACAGTAACTCCAACTTATCATACGATCCACCATCAGGCATTTATTCCCACTAAGAGTCAAACCTTGATGATATAAGCAATCAAAAACATAACATCTAAATTTCACATCCAAATTACTAATGTAATCATATCTTCATCTCTCATATTCTTCTTGAGGTAAAGCTCTATTTATTACCATGACTCTTTTGCTATAAAGAAATTTGTATGTGCTTGTACAAGTGTATGTGAGTGTAACCAAACATGTTTGAAGATTTCAAATTTTGACAGAAGATTTCTAATCAAATGACTTGTACAAGAAAATTAACTTTCTTGAGTTTCTATCACGTACATGCTAAATAAACTCAAAAAAAAAAAAAATATCATATTTATTTTTTTTCTTACCCTCACTTTCCGCCACTTTCATCCTAAACAAACTAGGCCTGAGAACTTTCAATGTCCCAAGTTTTGTTTTTTGCATAGCACATATATTTAAATGTTTGATGATTGTTTTATGGAATTCTAGTCTTCTCATAGAAAATTCCACTAGTCAGAAATCAGGAAACCCATATCCCCAAGTTGGAAATCCTCCATCCCAAAAAGCAAAATTACCGACAATACAGATCCCTTTTTTTTTTTTTTTTTCTTTTTTCTTTTTTTTATTAACAACAAACAATACCCTACATTATATAATTGACTCAACCAAAATGGCATTCAAATTATTTTTCAAGTTACTCTTAACATGAACCATCAAATAGTAAAAGAATATCAATTTCATCCCATATTCACTATACACAAATACAGACAAAAAAAAAAAAAAAAAACAGGGCAAGGTTATGGGCTCTACTTTATTTCTCTCTCGAGAATATAGGATTGATTTCAAGAATTTAAAAAACCCTTCTGTAGACAGAAAATTAATGACAGGTCTGTGAAGATCAGATACAATATCAAACGAAAATTTCATGGAAACAGGTTTAAATCATTGAAATGATAGTTTTGAATCGATAAATCAAATGAAAAAATCCAACTAAAAATTAGGGTTTTCCTTACCTCGGCCATTGCGATCAAGATCAAAGAGAGAAACAAACGTCAGCTTCCAATTTGCGCGTGAGAGAGAGAGAGAGCGCTAAAGGGTCGATGAAATGCGAGGGGATTCATATAGTGGACCAACGCAGTTCGACCGAAGGTCAATCAGAAACTGCCACGTTTGCAAGGACGCTTAGTTTTTTTTATAGGTAAATTATACTTTCCCCTTAGACCATCTCCAACGCCGACCGGTTGGTCAACCGGCCGGTCGACCACCCGGTCGACCACCTCCCCAAATCTGCTTTGATGCTCACCGTTGGAGCGCCTCGTATCAAATTGAAAAAATCGTCATTTTTTTCGACAGATTTGATGAAAAAAGAAGTGTAAATTATACTTTCCCCTTATGTTTCATAATTTTGTAGTATTTTATAATTTTTTTATTTTTATTACGTGACATAAAATAGATAAATTATATTTTGTCCTCTTAAATTCTACAATTTCTTACTATTTCCCCCTTCCTTCCACTCTTGTTCTCTTCTTCAAATTCATCTCATCCTCCAGTACCATTTGCATTGCCTCTATATTCCATGACCAGTGTTCACATATGCGTTCAGCCAAATACATCTATGTTTAATTGAGTTTTTAAATTTTTTACTTTTTTTTTTGAAAACTAGTTTAGTAAGAAACTAAAATGTAAAAAGGGAAAATTAGTCTAGGGTTCCTCTCCCACTTTTCGTAATGGAAGAGATCTACAAAATTATTTTTTGATGTCTAAGGTCCTTAAACATATCCCCTCTTTGTCTCTCCTTCCATGCCCGATCATTTACAGCAATTTTCTTTGCAGCAAGAATTTTGATCCTAACCTCTCTTAAGGCACTTAAAGCCACCTTAAAACTATACTTTGATGCCATCCCTTCCTCCACACAGTTAATCTATCTACATGTATTACTTTTCTTCATGGGCACAACTTTGTACGTTTGACATTTCCTCATTCATGATGGACATGGATGTCTCTCCTCCAGATTACAACAGCAATAGCAAACCGACAGTGCTGGGTTATACTCTGATGCTGTCTTTTTTTTGCGCCGGTGGTAGCGCTTGTTTCTGGGTTTGCATCGATAGTCATGGTGTGTGAGGAAGAAAGATGTTGCGTGTTGGTTTCGGCGTGCAGATCTTGCAGATGAGTTGATTTTTTTGACCCGTCTGCTCGATATAGGTACTGTGCATGCTGATAGCTTATTGGGATGGGTAAAAGCTAATCATCTTTATATATTATAGTGCAAAAAACAGTGGGCTGTGATATTTTTGGTCGGCTCTGGTTGCGTCCGCAAAGCTGATTCAGATGATCCATTATCAGAAGGTGTTGAGGTTGGTATTGGTCGATGCTTCACATTGGTGCTGGCTCAGTGCAGAGGGAGAGAGAGTTGTTTGTTCATAGCTTCTGATGGTACATATGTTTTTGCTGGTGCTGCTGGATATTCTCCTCTGTGATGCTGGTACTGGTGTTGCGTATTTTCCAGCGAGTAAGAAAACAAATTTAGCAAAACAAAAGCACTAAATTTGGCAAATTTGATTTTCTGGGTAAACAAACAGAGTGGAGTGGAGCTGATAAATGCATATATATATATATGATACATGCACATATATATACAATGTCAGCACATATATATATCCAGTGTTGAATATAACATCTTCAGATTCAAAATTTCTCTGAGTGTTGAATATAACGTCTTTTGATTTTCTGGGTTTCGTAGAATTGGAGTTGTTTTTGGAAAAGCAATATTTGGACCCCTACTTGAAAAATATTGGAAAAAGAAGCTTGAGGAAGATGTAGCAGTAGAGGAAGGCTTAAAGTGATCCAGAGAAATTCTTCATTCATTTTCTCTGGGAAAAATTTCTATCCAGAAAAATTATGGACCAGAGAAATTTGAATTTTCTCTGGGTTCAACCTAGAGAAATTCATAGCATTAAGTTTAAAGAAAATCTATCACAAACTCATAGAAGAACTATTAATTTGTTTGTGCAGAAAATTGTGATTGAATCAGCAGTAGCAGAACCAAAGACAAATTGATCAAATCAGAGTTTTATAGTTCTAGAGAAATTCTAGACCAGAGAAATTTGAATTTTCTCTGGGTTGAACCTAGAGAAATTCTTTGGAAGTCCAAAATTTCTTTGCTTCCAACTGATGATGGGTTGCTTTGCTTCTAACTGTCAAAATTGAACTGCTTATACATACTCTCTCTCTGTCTCTGATTGTTGGGTTTGATTACGGAGCTGGATGAGTTTTGAATAATCTGGGAAGTTATTGGCCGACCCATTTCTTTAGCCATCTTATCATTCTTATTCATGTTACCCATTTCCCTTTTTTTTTTTCTTTTTTTTTTCCTCCAATTTTACAATGCATAGTGAGTGCTTGATTAGTTTCCTCCAAATTATGTATACACACGCAATGATTTTATATATATTATGTATATTTTCATAGATTTCACACTCATATATACCTGTACCCATGTGTGTATGCTTAATTTCATTCATTCAATGGTTGTGTTTCTTAGTCTGCAAATCCCACTGATGTTATTGCTTCTTTTTTTTTTTTTTTTGGTAACCAGCTCGATGATGTATGCACTTTCTGTCCTCCATTAACCACTCCTCCACCGTCTCTTCCTCCAACGAGTGCAACCTTTTCTTTTCCAACTTTATCTGGATTTCCAGCAAGAGCAAAGGTTGCTTGAAAAAAGGGTTGCTACGTTGTTGTCTAGAGAAATTTTCTCTGGACCAATTTTCTCTGTGACGTGAATTTTCTTTGAACTAATTTTCTCTGGACCAATTTTCTCTAGATCAATTTTCTCTGGACTAATTTTCTCTGAACCAATTTTCTCTGGATCAACTTGAGGGACCTTAGACATTATGAAAATATTAGATGTCCTTTATGCTATAAAATCTTAATACGAGGGACCTTAAAAAAAACCCCATGTAAAAATGCTATTATTTTCATATAATTTCTGTTTTTTGGAGAATTGTTTTTGGAAAATTTAAAAAAAAAATTGATATTTTTTTGTGAAACTTAATTATAATTATTCAAAAAAAAAATTCTAAAATTCAATCAAATTTTAATATAATTTATTTTTGAAGAATTTTTTTTAAGGTCCCTAATATTAAGATTTTATAAAAGAAATGACATACAATATTTTCATAGTAATTAAAGTCTCTTGACATATCTACAGAGAAAATTCGGCTCCTAGAAATTTTGCCCGACTCAGAGAAATTTCGCTCCGAATCAGAGAAATTTTAATTTTCATAGAGAAATTTTGAAATTTCTCTTTGATTATACCAGAGAAATTTGAGTCAGGAACGAAATTTCAATGAGTTGGTTAAAATTTCTCTAAGTCAAATTTTCTCTGTGAAAATGTTGAGGGGCCCTATCTAATAAAAAAAAATATCTTGGACCTTTCATACTAAACAAAGTTGGAGAAGGATGTTTCACTAATTTTTTCTTTATTTTTATGCAACATAGCTACCAAAGTAGCATTCATTTGCAAAATCAAAAAAAAAAAAAAATTAATAGCCAAAATAAAAAAATTGTAAAACTTCAAAGAGGATTGTAAAACTTCAAAGGGGTATAGCATTTTTACATAAGTTTTTGAAAGTAAATTGGAAAAAATTTAAAATAATAAGAAGATCAAAATAAGAAAAAAAATTATGAATTTTATTTTTAAAAAAAATAGATAGCTACACTTATTCTAATGGGGAATTTTTTTTAAGGTCCCTAATAAGAGTAATTTACAGCATAAAGGACACCAAAAATAGGAATGATGTCTCAGGTCCCTCACTAACGACAGGCGCGTTTTTAATTTTTTTTTGGATCAAAATACCCTTCACAGATCAACATAGAATGCTCAACTCGATTGCATTCCGACGACTCAATTCATTCCGAACATCCAACCATTTTCATGAGTAAGAGAACATGAGAATTAGGGTTTCACTATCATCTTCACTGTCGCCATTATGGTTTCATTATCTTCTGCCAAACTCTTTTCAATTCGTTCCTCACAAATTTTTCTGACCCGTTTTCATTGTTCATCGTCATCTCAGTTCATCTTCATCTCATTGCATCTTCATCTCAAGCCATTTCAGTTCGAAATTAGGGTTTTCATCATCACTCTAGTAAGTTTTTTCCAATCAAACTAGTTTTTCTCCTAAACACAGTTGACTAGCCTTCCATTAATTAGGATTTCAATTTCATAATAAAAACCTACATGAATTTGAAAAATGTTATTTCCCTAAGTTTCGAACTTATTCTTGAAGATGTTTGTGTGATTTTGTCTGTAAATTTCTCTGTCATTTGAATTTCTCTAGTATTTGCTTGATCTATGTGTTTTCTTTGAATTTTCTCTGGCATGTTTATTCCCCCATTTGTTTCTGGTTATTCCATATTTTTCTCTGGTTTTCTGTAAATTTCTCTGACATTTTCATATTATGGAATTCATATTTTTTTTGACTTGCCATGTTTAATTTTCTCTGTCATATATGTAATTTTCTCTGGCTTGCCATGTGTAATTTTCTCTGGTATGTTTATTTTGTTCCATTCTTAAATTTTCTATGGCTACATCACTTTTCTCTTTTGTGTGGTTCTGCCATGTTCCATTTTCTCTAGTTGTTTGTAAATTTCTCTGGCATTTTTCATATTATGGAATACAAACATGTTTAATTTTCTCTAGCTTACCATGTGTAATTTTATCTGGTATGTTTATTTTGTTCCATTCTTGAATTTTCTCTGGCCACATCACTTTTCTCATTTGTGTGTGTCTGTTATGTTCAATTTTCTCTGGTTGTCTATAAATTTCTCTGGCATTTTCATATTATGGAATGAACATTTTCTCTAGTTTGCCTTGTTTAATTTTCTTTGGCATATATGTAATATTTTCTGGCTTACCATGTGTAATTTTCTCTGATATGTTTATTTTGTTCCACACTTGAATTTTCTATGGCCACATCATTTTTCTCCTTTGTGTGTGTCTGTCATGTTCTATTTTCTTTGCTTGTCTGTAAATTTCTTTGGGATTTTTATATTATGGAATGCATATTTTCTCTGGCTTGTCTTGTTAATTTTCTCTGGCATATATGTAATTTCTCCTGGCTTGCCGTGTGTAATTTTCTCTGGTATATGTTTAGTTTGTTC